AATAACATTTTTCATTGTTTTTGGGTTATTAAATTGCAAATTTTATCAAAATTTCAAAAAAAAGAAAAGAAATTTTTTTATTACAAATATCACGTGGGTGTATTTGATAATACAAAATTGTCTACTAATAAAAAAAAAAAAAAAAACTGTAAACGATAAAAAAAAAAAAACTTAATTGAGAGCTTTTAATAATATTGTTGCAAATCTTTTGATAAAAATCTTATATGTAAAAACATATTAAACCTAATTGATGACTTTTTTAAAAGTCTAATAATAATAATAAATAAAGTTCAAAATGTAATGAATAATAATAATAATAATATAATAATCACACACACACACACACACGCACACGCACCTGAATTTTATAACTCCAACCGTGAACATTACGTTCCGCCATTTTTGTTATTCTCTCGATATTACGTCACTGAAAATGACGTAAAGAAAATAAATTATATCATAACGACTAATGCCACGACACGAGAGTTTTTATTATTGTTTATTTTTAAGTTTTTTTTTTTTTTTTTTTTTTATCATTCATTGTATTGAAAGATTTCTTATAATTAAATAACGAGGAACGATTAAATAAACTTTAGCATACATTCATATTTATATCAAATCAATCAAAATTTGAATTTTTACTAATAAAATTTACAAAAAATTAATTAATTAAAAATTTTTTTCAATGAAACTATAATAGTCTTCCTTCTTCCTTCGTTTTTATGTAATCAATTCAATAATCCATAAATAATTGATCGATTGCTTTTTATTTATTAGAAAAAGAGAAAAAAAAATTGTTCAACTGTAAATTTTTTTTTTTGAATTCTTTTACTTAAACAAAAAAAACTTTTTCTTTCGTATTAATTAATTGAAATTGTTTTTTTTTTGTGAAAAAAAAAAAACTGAAAAATTATAAAAAGTCAAATTTCTACACTTTAATTAAACTCCACTTTAATTTTTTTTTATGATTGAGTCATACTTTCATATTAACACCTTCATTTAATTTTTATTTCATTTAGAAAAAAAGAAAGAAGAGAAGAAAACTATCTCATATTTTAATTATTTATTAATTATATTGTTTTATCATTATTAATGAATTGTAGGGGTAGTTAATACATGAATTCATTATTAACTTCTATTCAATGTTAATTAATTAATTAATTTTTTTTCAAGTGCAATTTAAAAAATATTTAAATGGGTATTCATTCATATATCACTAATTAATATTTAATATTATTATGTTTTAATAAAAGAGTAAAAACTAACAATATAAACAATTTTTTCTTATCGAAATGTATAAAACAACATTATTACATCTGACCAGATTAGGTAGAAAAATAAATTTCATAATAAATTAATTTATAAAAAATTATATTTCAATTGAATTATATTTATGTAAGTTAAAAACATCTCATTTATTTTTGAGTGTAATAATTATGGAAATGAATTAAAATTAATTTAAATAAAAATAACAATAAAATGTTAAGGACCAAAGAGGCCAAATATCATTGTTGTATATATTATTATATGAAGAATAAGAATAAGAATAAGAAAAAGTTAGCATTCTGGAGCCAAGTTCTCCAGAGGTTTTGGTCACCATAGCAACTCATCTTAATATATTTTAGTTTTTTTAAAAAAAAAAAAAAAAAATCTAATGGCGAAACAGGTTTTTCTTATTTACTCTTATGAATGTTAAATAAGAAAATTTTAACAATATTTTCTTTTTATTTATTTTTAAAATTTTTTTTAGGTCGTTTTATTAACTTATTATTATAAAACTTTAATTTTAAAAACAAATTTTAAAAATTCAAAATTTAACATTCAATTTGTAAATTTAATTAAATGACTTACTACTTAACATTTAAAAACAATAACAATTATTATTATTATTAACGTATCCCTGTCTCTCTCCCTCTCTCTCGAAGAAGAAGTAAAGAGGGGTGGGGAAGGGTAGGGGGGAAATAAAATAAAATTTAACAAACACCGAGTAAAATCTTTTCTTATTAATTTTTGAAATGTAATATTTACTGACCTGTAAGAAAAATCACAAGAGATTTAACGAACCAACAACAACAACAACAACAATAAAAAATTTGTCCACGTGATTGTTTTAAATTAAATTTTTTTTTTTTTTTCTTTTATAAATATTTTAACAATAATAATAATAATAATAATAATGTTGACGATTTGTTTGTTTGTTTGTTGTTTTTATATTACGTCGAAATTTTAAGATTTTTCTTTTCGAAAAAGATTTTTTAACTAAAATATCATTTAAGAGCGTTAAAAAAAAAAAAAAAAAATTTATTTTACATAAGTTTAATAGGTGGGCATTATTAAAAACGACTTAATAAATTTTGAGTGTAACCTTTAACCTATTTTTTAAAAATTTTTTTTACATTTATTTGGTCTCGGTAATAAAAATTTAACACTTTTTTTTTTTTTTTTTTTTTAAGGTTTACTTAAAAAATATAGAAAAACAAAAAAGAATTTTTCTCTTTTTAAAGAAACAAAAAAGTTTTTTAAAATAAATATTAAAGATATAATAAATAAATAAAAGGAGGGAGGTGGAGGGGGAGGGAAGGGGAGGGGAAAGAAAAAGGGAAAAACTTTCTTTTACGTTTGGCAACGTGTCCGACGTTAAGTAAAAAATTGAATTGAATTGAAAAAAAGAAAAAGATGGTTCCATTAAAATAATAATAATAATATTTTTTTTCTTTTGTATGTTTTTAAATGAATTTTACCCAAATAATATTTAATATTTGTC